GACATGACCTATATATTGACCTAAAATTTTATCATATTTTTAATTTTGAAAAATATAATTTGTTCAGGGTTGGCAAAAATCCGGCTAATTGTATTATGTAGTGGATAGAGAATTGGATTGATGTTTTTGGTGGATATTTGTGTTTTTAATATATACCTATTTTTATGTATTAAAACCTGACATTTCCGAACAAATAACTATAGAAGTATCAAAGAGCGCTTAAGAACATTTGGAAGAATTCTGATAACATCTAGAACATTCCAGTGCTTCAAAATCATTGGGGAACCAACTTTGGAAAGCATTTTGAAAGGCTTCAGAACTTGGTGCTAGCAAGTTAGGACGTTTATATGCATTTTAAGCCGCTCTAAAGCAATTTAGAACTTTGATAAGCTTCAGAAAACTTCCAATTCAATTTTCAATCCTCCTGCATTTGTTCGAGACAAACTTGAATCTTGAAAATCATTGTAAAAGGTTACACTGAAGAACCAATTAAGAATTTCAGAAACATCCTAGAACAGATAATAACACTTCTGCTGAACTTTCGGTAACATTTCACAAAGCTTTTGGAACACTATAGAACACTTTACAAATCATATGGAACTTTTGGAAACAATCTAGAATTGAAAACTTTCAGAATATTTTAAAAATCGTCACATGACATCTTTATAGAACTAACTTAAAGCTTTCATGAACATTTTAGAACACTCTTTAACACTAGAACAAACGAGAACGCTTCCAAACTTTCGGGAACATTTAAGAAGCTTGAGATACTTTGAAATTTAAGTTTGGATCCAACAAATCATATAGAACTTTCAGAAACTATCTAGAACTGGAAACTTTCAGAATATCTTGAAAATCGTTGCATGACACTTTAGAACTAACTCAAAACTTTTATGAACAATTATTAGAACACTCTAAAACACGTTCAGACGTTAGAACTTCAATTAGAAGAGCGCTTAAGAATATTTGAGAGATTCCTGATAGCTTCTAGAACATTCCAATGTTTCAAGAGCATTAGTTATGGGTTATCAATTTTATTTTGATTTCTGGTAAGATTTTTCTGTGGATATTTGTGGTAATTTATATGGAAAAAACCATCCAAAACCCAAAGAGTAATGATAATTGTTTGCTAACCCTGAATTTGTTATGATAATCTTTGACTAATTTAGAGATTATAGAGACAAGGAAGGAATTTTGAGACATGGAAATTCCCGACGCAGACAAAGCGCCTCCATATGCACCCATCTGACTTGTTCCCATATGCAAAGTGAATTTATCAAAAAATCTGGTTATTTTTAACGCACTTAATTTTTGGCAGGGCAATTTTTTATACATTTTGAAAACCTACCCTTCAAACAGATAAGAATTTGCTTGACAAATTCAAAAGTTAATTTCTGGGGTAGATTAGGATTATAGGAGGTTTGGGCAGGCTGTGAACTTCAACACATGGCCTACCGTATTATGGGGCGCTATAAATCATCAATGGAGTTCGTTAAGTGTGTAAATCATTGTCGTAGAATCTTTTTTTTTACCCACTGAAAGTATCCGTTTATTTCATTGATTTAAAATGCCCAAGAAATACTTTTTCTAAAATTGCTCAGAGACTAAAAAAGGAATCCAACCTACAGCAAAGTCGAAAAATGTCTTATAATTCCTTTTTTTTTTCTGATTTTGACTTTTCACAAGATCTTCAAAAGCTCCCAGGATTTTGACTTATGCATTATTGACTCGCCGTGTATACTTACTCATAATTTTATTAGAATGTTCGAATCTATATGATAAACGTATCTTCAATGTCAAATTTAAATATTTTGATTAATTCCTACGCCTCTGTCCTGTCCTATTCTCGAGGACCGAACACAAAAATTGTCACAACATAGGTGGGCCCAAAAAAACCCCAACAAACAAACTAGAAGGCACTTGAACTCAAAGATTTATTTATTGTTTACTTTGTATGACATACCTTTTTATGTAATAAATTAGTTCAGGACCACTTAAGGTACCCGTTAATGAGCCAATATGATACCCAGAAAAAGTTCTGGGAATTTTTTGTATATAAATTAATATATTTCTCATGCCTTTTCACGCAAAACACCCATCAAATTATAACATAAATCACCATCTAATTATTTGTTTATGGGATTTGGCCGAGTGCTAGTGTAACAACAATACGACGCGTCAATCTTCGAGATACCTATTCGAAAAGTTGGCATTTGCGACCGTTGTCACTCAAAAATAAACAGAGATAATTCGAAACCCATTAGTCTGTGATTCGTTTTTAAGTGGCTTAATCTATTTGGCTTGTTTTAGAGGTGATCTATAAGATTAATGGGGAAAAAGCTACATACAACCTATCACGACTTGGACAAGAAAATTGAAGACTGTTATTCGAAAGCCCTTGGCCAAAAACAATTAGTCGAAACAGAACTTGCAAAAATTGTCGAAATGTAATTAATTGAAAAACCTTGTGATGAAAGCACGCCAAACAGAACATTAGTTGATTCAAATAAAAGTTAGGTATCTACGAGAAATTTATTTTAGTCCCTACAAAACTTTATTATAGACATTGATGTTATGTTTTCTTTCGTATGTGATTTTTGAGAAAGTTGAGGATTCTAGTCTTCGTACGTAATCATACCTTTTTTTTTCTATTATACCTAAATAGAAAGCTGAAATTCTCAGCAATTCTTATTCTCGTGAAGGGCTACCAATCCCTGAAGATTTCAGCTCATTTGGACTTATAGTTCCTGAAATAAAAATCACGTAAGCAATGTTTGGTGAATTCCTCAATTTTTCAATTTCCTGACGTCCTTTTTTCAAAGATTTCCGCTTTAAATCTCAGAATAATTTAGTGAATGGAGTTTGAGGGGTCCCAATATGATAAGGTTGAACACGAAATCTCAATATTGAAAGGACTGCGCACACCTCTTATGGGTATTTGGTTTTCTGTCAAACTCAATAAAATTTTTATGGGTTAGATTGTCTATGGTTAGACCTTGACTTCCTGATAAAAAGTTGTCATGGGCCTGAACCAATCCTATAACTATTTTATTTTATTTTATTTAAAGTAATATATACGGGATGCCCCATTTATAAATATACATTTCAAAATAAAGATAACAATAATTATTATAACTAGATTAACAATAATAAATCATCTATGTCCAAACCAAATAATAGCACAATATCACAATTTGGACCGTAAAATATTGTTACGGTATCTATCAGGCGAGCCTCCAAAAGGATCAATCGCAGAGTGAGCATTTACCTAATAGAGCAAGACCACGGGCGAGAGGAGAATGACCCCCATAATTAGTTCTATGGACAGTTACATAAAAAACCTCACTTCTTCTAAGAGGTCGACATGGTACTTTCAGAAAGACTTTACTGAGCAGATACGGACAGTCTATATAACCGTTAATCAGTTTATAAATGAAGTACAAGTCAGAAAATGCTCTTCTGTTTTCAAGTGATAGAAGACAAAGATGAAGTTGGACATCTTCTAGTCTATCTCTGTCATATCAAGTTTATAGGCACAGTATTTTATAAACTTGCGTTGAACTCTCTCAAGTTGGTCCTTATAGATGTTATAAAATGGTGACCAAACAACTGAAGAATATTCTAAATGAGATCTTACGAGAGAGCAGTACAGTAAATGGAGTGAGTTCACGGACAAATCCCTACCAACTCTGAAAATGAAGCCCAACATCTGAAACGGTTTACCCACTATATACTTGATGTGATCTCTAAAAGTTATTTCAGAATCGAAATATATCCCTAGGTCTTTGATTGCGTTTACGACATTCAACTGGATCCCCGATTTTGTAACTAGTCTCATGTTTTTTCTTGTGCTTGAAAAAGCTTATAGAAGTGCACTTAGAAGCATTTAGGGATAGTCCATTAAGTTCTGACCAGCTTGCAAATGATGTTAACAACTCTTGAAGTAATTTTGAGCCACTGTCGTTATCTACAATTCTATACAATTTGAGATCGTCAGTATAGAGCAAATAGTCACAGTTTTCAATATAATTTTCAATATCACAGAGAAACAAGTTAAATAATATTGGGGCACAGTGGCCACCCTGTTACACTCCAAAGGTGACATCAATACCACCAGATTCGAAATTTCTGATCCTAACCTTCTGAGTTCTCCCTGTCAGCATACTCTGGACCCATTCCACAGTTCTTTCACCAAAACCAATAGCTCGAAGTTTGACCACAAGTAGGTTATGATTCACCCTGTCAAATGTCTTGGAGAAGTATGTGTAGACTGCGTCCACCTGAAACCTACTCTCCAAGGCATTCAAAAGGTCTGTCTCGTAAGATACCTAGTTTGAGACGGTAGAGTTACCACTAACATAGCCGTGCTGGCGATTATCGATGAAATGTTTACATTTCCAGCTTAAGTGATCATATACGAGGCTATCAAGTAGTTTGGGAATTGCAAATTGCTTGGAAATGCTCCTGTAATTACTTACACAATCCTTCTCCCCTGATTTGGTCCCGAGCAGATTGTGTCTTGCATTTTTTTATTGCTTTTGTAAATTTTATAACGATTTTTAAGATAAGCATTTTGAGGTTCCTTCAGAATTTTGTTATACAGTAAATGTTTTTCTTTTATCTTGTTTAATAGAGCTTTTGTTATTCACTTATTTTTACCATTTTTTGTGTTTGTTTGTTTAATAGTTTTTGCGTTTTCTGAGATTTTATTTTGAAGAATATATAGAAAGTTCGAGACCGCAAGATTTAAATCCTGAGCATTAAAAGCCGATTCCCACCCCTCATTTTGCAAAGCCCTTCTTATTTTTTTATAGTCTGTGTATGATTTTGTTCGTTCGTTTATTTTCTGTGTATTCGTAATTGACGTTTTCAATGTGAATGCTATTGGATGGTGGTCTGTAATTTTATAATCTATAATATATGAATTAGAATTCTTAAAACAATTTTCATTTTCGCCCTTAACATATATGTGATCAAGACAGGGTCTTGTGTAGTATTTATTAATAGGTATATGAGGTGTAGTCGTAAGCCGCTAAGTCACTTTTGTAGTATTCTGTAGGATTTTTGTTTTCTTTTAATAAATTTATATACACTTCCACTGCTTCTTCTGGAATAAAGTCCTCAGATCCAGACTTGTTGCTCGAACTTCCGGTAATGCTGCTTGTGTCGTCTAATTCATTTGCAGAATATTGCTGACCATCAATTTCTAACTTAAAGCCTTTTATTTTTGTTTCCTTATTTTCTTCACGGGCTTTTCTCATGTGCTTCCTTAGTATCTTTAACTCTTCTCAGTCTTCTTTGCAGTAATTGTGAGAGACTGAAATTCCTGTGCCCTTCAAAGCCTTCAATTTGTCGGAATCTTGAAAAATTTCAGCTTTTTTCAGGTATGTCAAGAACTCTATTAAAATAGGTGAGCCTTCTTCCTTTCCTATAAAGTATATATTATTTATCTACAAGCGTTTGGTTATGACGTTTTTACATAACTATTTTTCTAGTATTTGAGTTGTGTCATGAGACTCATAACACAACTAGTGGTGTTATAGACTAGGTCATGAATTCATAACACAACTAGTGGTGTTATGGACGAGGTTATGAATCTATAACACAACTTTTTTTGGTGATTTTACAAATGTCAAAGGTAAACCTGTAAAGGAAAAATGAAGGTAGACAACTACTAATAAACGAAAATAATTGAAAAAACATTCTTATTTTTCGCTTTGTAGATAAAACCTTGTACATCACACGTGCGTTTAAACATGACTACAAAACTCGTGTGATTAGAACGACTCGGTCTACGACCTCGCCGTTGTAATACGACCTCGTCGTTCTAATCTTTCACACTCGTTATTGTAATCATGTTCATAAACGCACTTGTAAATAACTATTATATCACGTACGGTGAGTGAAAGCGAAAAAAGCTCGTTTAATTTTTCTAGAGTTTTTACAAATAAGTCTGTTCTATTTTGCACTTTAAATCCAAATAACAGTACGTTATTTCTTCTTAATTTCCTTTCTATAAGGCGAAAATTCGACTCCAAATTTTCATTTTTCGTATTGGCAACTTTTATTTGAGCTGTAGCCTTTTGCTCGCTGCTTTGGATTTGAGCACATAGAGTAATTGTTTGATTTTTATTTTGCTCACCAAGCATTTTGTACATTTCGGCAAAGGTTTTTGGCTCGTTGTCCATAATTGCGATCTTTTTCGTTATTTCGGTGCACAGTCAGGTACAGATACTGCTGCAGGTGCAGATTTGCTTATCAGAACTCGACTTCGTTGGTACTAGCGTACTACAACGCGGTTAAGTACTATTGGTTCAAGAGTGGAATTTCAGTACCGCCTCGATACACAAAAATGGTATGTTATCACTTGTCCCAGGATATTTTTAGGTTAGTCATCTATTTTGTCTTTATTCTATAAAAATCTCCTACCTTTTCAAAATCTGGATTCTTCACCACCTAAACTCAACTTTTATTCCAAATTTGTTTTTTGATTTCACTTTAAAACTACCTAAAAACTTATTTATTTGGAGCAAAAATTAAAAATGACCTTCAGGAACCGTAGACGTACGTACATTATCTGGTCCGGATGACAATTTTAATGGTAAATGCGCAATCCTATCAAAAACATCAGACAAACTTATGGCACCAATTTCAAAGTCAATACAGTTGTTAACCTTATAATCAGGTACAGTAGCATTACTATTACTATATACTGTTGAGAAATATTCACAGAAAAGGTCTGCAATGCCCTGTCCACCGTCGGCCACTTTGTTGTTATAGTACATACAGCTGGGCAGTTCATGTGACCTCCTCTGTGAATTCAGAAACGACCAAAAATGTCTGGGATTCTCAGAAATATCATGCTCAGATCTCTAAAAAAAGCGCATAATCCCTCTGTACTAAAAATTTACAATTAGATCTAAGATTAGAGAACCTCGCATAGTGAGTTTGAGATCCAGATTCACAGAATTTTCTATGAGCCTTGTTGATGATGCAACTTCTTAGTTCGGCAGAGAAATAATTAGGAAAATTAGAGCTTCTGTAAATTCTACGAGGTACAAAATTATTCAAAGCTTCATTCAATATTATGTAAAACAAGCCAGTAGATTCGTTGATTTTTTTGTTTGTAAACATTTCTTCCCACTGAAAACTTGCAAGGCAAGTGTTGAGAGAAGCAAAATCTGAGTTTCTGTAATCCAGGTAAGATATTTCATAATTCACTGGCTTGGTTTGCACAACATTTATTTGACATACATAAGCACTATGGTGTATGCTACAAGGCAATAAAAAGTCACTGACCAGTGTGACAGATGCATTTGTTACATGACTGAAAACTAAGTCCAAATATACATTACGACCATTAGGTATAGTAATTAGTTGGGTAAGATTCAAAAAGGTAAAGTTCTCTGCAAGTATTTCAGCATGATATCCTGGAGGACAGTTCACCTGAAGTCCATGTTCATCGCTGCTCCATTCAGCCCTAGGCAAGTTATAGTCTCCACAGTAGTCATGGCATACTTGTTCAACAGCCTCACCATGATGTAGGTATAACTCAGCACCACCACTCGGGGGTATATAAACTCCGCCAACAATTAGTTGAGTGGAGCCTTGTCTGATGAACTGAACTAGTTTTTGAGATAAAGGTAGGTAGTTTAATGCCCAAGAAATGTACAGTAAGAATCATTGCAATTAGCACACACTATATAAACACTTTAAACGATACTTTAGTGAAGGCCCTGACAATAGACCAAGATAAACATTCCCCAGCAACCAAAAAGGACGGACGGATAAGCGAAGAAACTAAAGAACTAATGCGAGAAAAAAGAAACAAAAGAAGAGAAAAAGCAACCACAGAGGAAGAGCTAAGGAAAATGAACAGATAAATCTCCAAAGCAATGAGAAGAGATACAAGGAGATACAAAGTGAGAGAAATTGAACGAACCATAGAGAATAACAAAAGCATGAAAGTACTCCAAAGAAAACTTACAAATATGGAAGGAAAGAAATCTGCAAAATGAAAAACAAAGATAGAGAACTTACGATCAATAGAAAGGAAATATTAAATATAGTGGAGGAATTCTATAAACTCCTTTAGAAAAGTCAATATGACGAAGAAAATCCTGAACCATTGTCAACCAAGGATCAGAAGAGCTTCCTGATATTACCATAGAGGAAATAGAATTAGCATTAAAAAACACACAAAATAATAAAGTGCGAGGGGAAGACAACATAGTTACAGATGCAATAAAAATAGGAGGCCAAAATCTACTGCTAAAAATAAAAGAGCTTCTTAATCTTGTCTATTCAATAGTAAAGTCCCAAAAAATGGGCATAATTCCATTGTAATCCTGCTTCACAAACAAGGAGATATATCAGAGCTAGAGAACTACCGACCAATAAGCCTCTTAAGTAACCTTTACAAACTTTTTACTCAAATTATAACCACCCGACTGGAAAATAAATTGGATTTCTACCAACCTGTGGAACAGGCAGGTTTTCGTCGTGGATTTGGAACGAATGACCACCGTCAAAGCGTCAAAATACTCATAGAAAAAAACAATGGAATACAACATGGCTTTAGTAATGGTACATTCGTGGACTTTCACAAAGCCTTCGACACAACAGAGCTAAATGCAGTGTGGAATGCACTTCAGGAATGTAAAATCAACTACCGATATACCAAATTCATGTACAATATTTACAAAAATGCAACAATGACGGTGAAACTACATGAAAATACCCACCTCATAGCTATTGAACGTAGTGTTCGGCAAGGCGACACGATGTCACCAAAACTGTTCATTACAGTCATGGCGAGTGCATTCAAACAATTGGACTGGAGCCAAAGAGGTATAAACATAGATGGCAAGAACCTAAACAACTTACGTTTTGCAGATGATATAGTGCTATTCTCGGATAATCTAGAAGAAATGCGACTGATCTTACAGGACCTGCAAGAGGTGTGTGGAAAAGTCGGTCTTAATATCAGTATGTCAAAAACAAAATTCATGAGAAACCTTGTTCGCAGATGTGGCTTGAAGATTAACGGAGCTAAAATTCTAATGGTAGATAGATATGTGTACCTTGGCCATGACGTCAGAATCTCAAGGGATAACCAGAAATGCGAACTAAAGAGAAGACTCACTCTCTCATGGGCAGCTTTTGGAAGACTTAAAGACGTTTGGTCAAGAGTGACATTCCCGTCAACCTAAATAGAAGGGTTTTCGATCAGTGCGTGCTACCAGTAATAACATATGGCCCAGAAACCCTAACACTAACAACAGCAACTGCAAAGAAACTCAGAGTTACACAGAGGAAGATGGAGAGATCCATGCTTGGTGTGACCTTGAAGGACCACATAAGAAACGAGAATCTGCGCGAAAGTACCTGTGTCAGCGATGTCGTTAGAGATTGGAGCTATTGCGAAGGTTAAGTGGAACTGGACTGGCCACGTTGCACGGAGGCGGGATGATGATCGATGGGAGAAGAGGCTTCTTGAGTGCAGACCTAGAACGGACAAGCGAAGTAAAGGAAGAGCGCCTACGCGTTGGTCGGACGATATTAAGAGGACCCGTAGCAACTGGATACAAACAGCATAAAATCGATTGGAATGAAAAATGATTAGGGAGGCCTATGTTCAACAGTGGACGCAGAGGGCTGGTTGATGATGATGATATAAACATCCCCCGTAATGTGTTAAAATTTTACTTCTTTGACACACAGGTAATGTCAATATCGTGTCAGATTGATAAATCAGTGGTGTCCATAATAGTTTTAATCTGGTTTTGATAAACTGTTAAAAAAAGAAAAAAAAAATTTGTACACCGCTGGACTGAATAGATTTATTGGTTAGAATTTTGACTGAATACGAGGGATGTTAAAAGAGTATAGTATTGTACCAATTGCTTTGATTCCCGCTGTATGTATACATTTTATATGCATTTACATTTACATGTCTCCTGAGCGTGAGGATAACTGTCCATCCTGGTATAATATTAGGTTGTATATACAGTGACCGCCAAAAAGTTTGCAACAAATGGGAAAATATTTTATTTTAAAATATCAAAAAGAATGTTACGTGGGTTCAATTCAGCATACCTATCAACAAAAAAAAGCACTGTGACAGATGTCATGTGACCACAGTTATGGCGGGAAATTTGAAAAGTTCGCCTCAAATATGTAAAAAGTGGGGTTAGATGACCAGAAATCGAAAAATTGTAGAGAGAAAAGTGGTTCAGAATTCGATTTTTCGTCTATGTGTCAATTTTTGAAAAGGTACAAGGATTTTTAACAAATATCAATTTTTTGGTCTGTTTTCTGGTAATTTGGAGAATATTAAAAACTTTTCGGAAAAATATTGGTTTAATTGAATTTAGAAAAGAGGTATTGGATCATTTAGAAAGATTTTATGATAATTTCAAATTTGTTATTTCAAATTTTTGCTTTCTGTAGGTCATTGCAACAAGATCAGAGTGGTCTGTAAATGAATTTTTGGGTTTTTACAATATTCCGCGGGACAATTAAGCACAATGACTGCACTGGATTTTTTTTTGGTTAGTTTCACTTTAAATTATGTGAACCAAGCAAAAAGTTTTTGATATTTTTCAAATTACCAGAAAACAGGCCAAAAAATTGATATTTATTAAAAATCCTTGTACCTTTTTAAAAATTCACACATAGACGTAAAATCGAATCCTGAACCACTTTTTTCTCTACCATTTTTCGATTTCTAGTCATCTAACCCCACTTTTTACATATTTAAGGCGAACTTTTTAAATTTCCCGCCATAACTGTGGTCACATGACATCTGTCACAGTGCTTTTTTTGTTGATGGGTATGCTGAATCGATACCACGTAACATTCTCTTTGATATCTTAATAATAAAATATTTTCCCATTCGTTGCAAACTTTTTGGCGGTCACTGTATATATATATATATATATATATATATATATATATATATATATATATATATATATATATACGGTTAATGCATATAAAATGTGTAAAGTTTGTTTCGCCAGGGTTTGTACTTGCCACCAGCATTTGCCTTCCTTGTTTTACAAATAAAAATTGACTGAAACAAATCAATGACGTCAAAAATGTTCGTCGGTTCTTAAGCCAGAAGTCATTCATTTTAATTTGTCAAAAAATTGAATTTGTCATATGAATTAATCTACGACAACCCTTTTTTGTCAAGTTTCAAGGTCAAGTATGAACCCTGGTGAAACGGACCTTACCTACATTTCTTGGACATTAAAGTACCTACCTGTATCTCAAAAACTAATCATAGTATTGGTTCGGGCCCATGAGAACTTTTTACCAGGAAGTCAAGGTCTAACACATATCAAAATTTCATTGAGTTTGGCAGAAAGCCAAATACCCATAAGAGGTGTGCAGGGTCCTTTCATCATTTTAGTACTTAGGTATTTAATTATCTAATGATTCAGATAAGATAAGAGATGAAATTGAGTTAAGGAATGAGAAGAGATTTTTTTCATTTCCCAATTTTTCCGCTTCTCTTTTTTTACACATTTTTGCTTCAAATCTCACAAAAATTCCCGTTATGGAGGTTTGGGGAGACCCAAGAGATCATTTAAAGACAACATTTCCTGTTGTTACGCCAAAAAGTAATGAAAGTCAAAAGCTTTTCACACAAAAACAGAATTGCTGATATCGAAATCGAAAGTGTATTGATTACTTTCGATTCCAATAATTATGTACGAGTTCAAGAATTTTGCCCACACATAATTCGACAAACAAATCGGATCAAAATTAATAAAAATCAAAATGATATATTCCATGTTTTGACTGCTCCCGCTCCACAAGCTTGCCAGTGATTTATGAAACACCCTCAATCACCGTCCTAAACAAAACAATAAGAAAAAACGTAAATTATTGTCTTCTTTGAAGCTGGGTAAACCGAACGTCTGGAAAAGATTTAGTGGAAAAACAATCGGATATAAATGAATAGGAATTCAATAAATTTGTCATTGCTTCACTGAATATCGTTTGAAGTCGATGAAAAATATGGTAAAAAAATATTTTTTTATGCGTTTTGATCAATCGATGGGTATTGAAATGTGCGAGTCGTTTGCCAGAGAAATATCAATTGCTATTATTAAATAAATGAATGGTTCGATGATAAATCTATAAACTATAAACTGTGTGGTTTACATTATTGACGTATTTATTGATTAAGTTTTTTTTTTTGGAATTATCTGAATCATTAATCAATGAGAAGTTAACAAATTGAGGTTACTCCGAATCACCAAAAAGTTTTAGCTTCAATTATGACCTGATATGATTGGAATAAAAATAAATACCTGTGCTATTTCATTGAATAGTTACAAAGTAGCCCTTATCACTTTGCTTAAATCCTCAAAATCATAAAACTCATTAGATGTTTGCCTTTTTGAAATAAAACAACAAAATACATAGGTACATAAGATTATCTATTTTAATAAATAAATAAATTTTCAATCTTAACATTATTAACTATATTTAAAATACAGGCATTAAACTCAAATAAAACCTTAAAAATAAAATTTCAAAATAGTTTTTGGCATCTTTATAAGAATTCTATAAACCTAGTAACACAGTAAAATATACAATAAAATTCTTGTGATGAAATATTATTTATTCCACTATAAGCTACAGCAATTTATCAAAATCTAGATATTTACAACTTTGGCAGCCATTTTATTGTTTTTAATAACGCTTTATTTACACATGAAATGATGAAATCAGCTCTATACATAATACTTCTTTGGTCAGTTGTATGAGAATTATTTTTTTAAATAAAGGATTTATTTAAATACATATTTACAACTGTATAGTCAAAAAACATTTTTATCTTGGAGTAAAATCATAACCATTCTGATGAGTTCCTGTTAAAGTAGCGCTCCTAAAATTCCCATTATTAGCATAAAACCCCTGATAACCTCCATACATCCCTCTAGCAAAATTCGGAGATCTCATCCCCTTATCATTACTATAAACGGTATTATAATTGTGTAAAATATTATGCGGATGATAAACAGGGCCGTAATTGCAAATTTCAGCCGAATACGGTTGGGTAATTGAGTTTAGTCCGGCACTGAGTATGTTCGATTGTAGTAGAGAAGGGCTGGTCGCTTGATTGGTCGCCTGATAACGGTTTTGGAAGATCATCGAGTGGTGGGGGTTGTGCAACGAGTCTGATTGGTGTTGTTGAGCTGGAGTGGGGTGATTGTCGGATGTTTCCTCATCTGAAACAAAATAGAGGAATGGTCTGATTGGTGGAACCTGTTTAAGTAGTTATAAATAAGCTAGGAATACAAAAACTATGCAACAATGGTAACTATACCGGGTGGTCCTCCGGGAATGACATCGATTGCTTATGGGAAAACTGTGAAAGGTAAAAATTTGAAAATTTGGCAACATAGCAATGTCGATGGGGGACATCTAGGTAAAATATTTTCAAGATGGCGGCATTTCCGGTCATACCGGAAGTTGATACCAACTCGGTTATTTTAAATAGAACACCCCATATATTAATGTATTTTTGGATTCTACATAAAATTCTGAGCAGATTTCATGTAATATACCCTATACCTAAGTTCAACTGTTTTGGAAATATTGACAGTTGAAAATTGACTTTTTGCAACTTTGACAAGCTGTAAAACCTAATTGGTTAATTTTAGAGGAAAACCGATTTCACATTCCTATCTTAGATTTTGATAAACTATCATTTGACACCAACTTTGAACTTAAACGGAGATTAAATTTAACTGAAATTTTTAATCATGGATTTAATTCAAAGTTGATGTCAAATGATAGTTTATAAAAATCTAAGATAGGAATGTGAAATCGGTTTTCCTCTAAAATTAACCAATTAGGTTTTACAGCTTGTCAAAGTTGCAAAAAGTCAATTTTCAACTGTCAATATTTCCAAAACAGTTGAACTTAGGTATAGGGTATATTACATGAAATCTGCTCAGAATTTTATGTAGAATCCAAAAATACATTAATATATGGGGTGTTCTATTTAAAATAACCGAGTTGGTATCAACTTCCGGTATGACCGGAAATGCCGCCATCTTGAAAATATTTTACCTAGATGTCCCCCATCGACATTGCTATGTTGCCAAATTTTCAAATTTTTACCTTTCACAGTTTTCCCATAAGCAATCGATGTCATTCCCGAAGGACCACCCTGTATAGAAATATCTACAACTTCAAATTTTAGGAATTATTGATTTAAAAGTTTTCTTGAGCCAACTCTGTCTACCAATTAATTCTAAACAAATTTTTAATAGAAAATCTCTCCCAAACAGTTTTGTTTACCAACCTGACACATAACTTAACCCCAATGTGAAACAAAACGACTGCAACTTGAGTAAACACTAAAGCCAAAATTATAGTAACAGTATTTTGAGAGGTACTCCAGAAAAAGAAGTAAAAAACCCTGACGGAAAAGACGCGCGTTGGCTTTATCTCTCCAGTCCTGTCGATTTTGACAAGTTAATTTGAATGAAGAGGCTCGGTTTCAAAGTTTGTTTAGATGTCTGTAATTGCCTCGCGGCGTTTTACGACTCGAAAAACTACTTTTCTGAATCGTGCCTGCATCAGTTTTTTCTAAATAAATAAAACTGATGGGATAGACTGATGGATTCTTTGTAAATTTATGTTTATCGGTTAAGGTGAAACCTATTTGTTTTAATATGGTTTGGGAAAAAACAGATGCATAACATTCGATAATTTTATTTTATGTTATATCGATGTTTTTGGAAAGTTGCTTTTTCGGCAGCTTAAATGACAAGTAATTGATTAACAATAATTATCAACCTAATTTTTGATAAAACTGAAGGCAATATTTGATCACAGTGACAAAATATCAAGGGTAATAATTTACGGTTCTACATATTAAAAGGTGATACCCATTCTATAGCCACTTCACTAAAACAAACATCTTGGGAATAGATATATGAAACCCGATACAGAGCACTAGAAATTTTAGACCAAATATGCCCTGAAAAAGACAAAGCAGGATTAAAAATAACTCCCAAATCTTCTTGCTCAGACACTAAAAAATTTTTCATTACCTATAGAGTAATCATAAACGACGGAATTTTTATTACGTGTGAATGACACGCATTACAAATTCAAATCAAAACTACTTTCAGGACACAATGCAACAACATCAGAAAGTGTACTCTGGAGCAACTTAGAATCGTCAGCAAAACCACCATGCACTCAAAAATAAAAGCGGACCCAGACCGAACCCTTGTGGAATACCTGATGGTAAAAACTGAAGATTTACTGCCCTTAGTTTTCAAACATACTCATATCGTTTACTTCGCCTACACCACCCCCAAAACATATCGCCCCATAAGCCTCCCATCTTTTTCTCTAAAAACAATGGAGACACTATGCGAAAGGTACATAAGGGATGAAGTGTTGTCAACCAATCCACTACCACCCTAATCAACATGCATAAACCCCTGATGGGAGATCAACGGACACAACCCTCTACTTGGTTCCTGGGCGAGTGGAAAAATCGCTAGAGAATAGAAAGTTTACCCTGGTATTCATCGACATTGAAGGGGCTTTTGACAAAACCATCAGCCACTCGCTAACAGAAAAGAATACTCCGGAAACTGTTGCCGAATTCAATATGCTTTCCAAAAGTATCGCACAGATAAGTATGCAAGACGTCAACATTAAAGCAAAGATTAGAGGAATGATCACGAGAGGCTGAACTCGGCAACGCCATATTTCGTCTTCAACGCCTCCTCACTTTTTCTTATTTCAAAGTCCTACAACTATAATAATATCTTGTTTCCACAATTGTAAAATGTCTAGTTTTGAGGTATATAGTGCACCAAAACCAAATCCTTTTTTGATTCTACATTCTGCATTGGCCTCGTTTGAGTTTTCACGTAAAGTCCATCTCTCCTCTGTCAAAAATCAAGCCAGCGTTTGAATCACAAAAGTTACTCCCGTCATAATTTGACAAAATTAGGGCGAGTTTGCACGAATAAACTAGAAGAACGAGGAGAAATACTGGAGACTCTGGAGAGATTATGTTTACGTCGAGATCCGAATCTATACACAGGAATTCGATAGTTACACGGTAAAGAGGAGGTATGACGTTAGAACACGTTTTGGAGTAGTTTTGTGCATTTTATATCCCCATCGCTTTGTGTCTTTTATTTGATGGTCCTGGGTTCTTTCAATCTATTAATCTACTTGCATCTACTTTAGCTTTTGTTATCATTGCATAGGTATCTAATGCAACTTCTCTGGCTAATTTCACGCCTAACTCATTCCATTGCTATAAGCCTGTGTGCGATCTGCTCTCCGCCGAGACGGGTTCCCATTAGTCGATTTTATTGATCAATTCATACTATTGAACATATAAAATTTGTTCACATCTTTCAAAAACATTGAAGATTTAAGGACTATAAACCTAGCAGTCCCAAGGTGGAAAAAAACTTCGGGAACTATATAATAATTAGGTGATTTTTAGGTGCTAATTAGGGCCTCTAATTAAAAATTAGGTGCTCCTTTAGTTTTTGAAAAAATCAAAAAAAACAAAGGGACTGCTAGGTTTATAAAAGCTAGCAGTCCCCTATAGTAAAAAATATTTTTTTCAAATTACTTCTTTGTATCAGGTGCTTTTTAGGTGCTCCTAAATAGTCCAAGAAAAAAAAAGTTTGATTAATTATTAACTGAGTTACAGATTTTTTTTTTTAATTATTAGGGGACTGCTGGCTTTACGTTTACATGTTGGTGTCTCAGAATGGCAAAAAAACTTCGGGATCTATATAATAATTAGGTGCTTTTGAGGTGCTAATTAGGGCCTCTAATTAAAAATTAGGTGCTCCTCTAGTTTTTGAGAAAATCAAAAAAAACTAAGGGATTGCTAGGTTTATGAAAACTAGTAGTCCCTTATAGTGAAAAATATTTTTCCAAAAATTTCTTTTGCATCAGAATTAGGTGCTTTCAAGGTGCTCCTAAATAGTCGAAGAAAAAATAGAATTGATTAATTATTAACTGAGTTACAGATTTTTTTTTAATTATTAGTGGACTGCTGGCTTTACGTTTACATGTTGATGTGTCACAATGGAAAAAAACTTCGAGATCTATACAATAATTAGGTGCTTTCTAGGTGCTAATTAGGGCCTCTAAAAATTAGGTGCTCCTCTAGTTTTATTAGAAAATCAAAAAAAAAACTACGGGATTGCTAGGTTTATGAAAGCTAGTAGTCCCCTATAGTGAAAAATATTTTTTTCAAATTTCTCCTTTGTATCAGAATTAGGTTCTTTTTAGGTGCTCCTAAATAGTCGAAGAAAAAATAAAATTGATTGATTATTAACTGAATTACAGATTTTTTTTTAATTATCAGGGGACTGCTGGCTTTACGTCTACTTGTTGGCAGTGTTGCCAACTATATGAATGGCCATTTTACCAGATTATAAAACTTGGAATACCAGAATATTACTATATTTTTCTCAATCCTGCCAATACCAGAATATTACTAGGTCTTTGTTGCTAAACAAAAATTGTGTTAAAATTTTTAGATTTCAATTATTTATTTTAAGTTTTTTTTCGTTAGGTTTAAAATAAAAATGCAATAACAACAATAGTATGGAAAAATAAAACTTATTCAAATAAAATAACACTACATACCTAATGTTACATCAGGTTACATATAAACAAATAGGTGCAGGGTGGGCATTTTATTAGGGGCCTATGTCTTTTCTCAGAAACTACAGGGTGTACAAAAAAAATATAAATACAGTAAAGTGTCTTGGTTTTAAGCAATGCTATCAATTATTTGAGTTTAATGTATACAGGGTGTCCCAAAAGTGCTGCACCGACTTCAAAACCAGAATTTAAATAGGACACCTTGTATATTTTTACATTTTTGGATTCCCGGAGAAAAATAAAGGTAACTTTCATAAGGACTCCCTATTCGAGTTTTGTGTAATTAAGGCAGAAATTGAGGTTATGTATTTTTTTTAGCATTTATGCCCTCAGCAAACAGTGTCTTGTGCGGCTGGTAGTTGAGATTATTTAATAAAATTTCAACCACACCTTAAGAAGACTACCTTCCAACGATCTACGATGGCTAGGTGCTTTAAATTTATACTGGGTGTCTCAGATCATAGGACCTTTTTTTCAATTTTCAATATCCTAGTTTTTTTCAATGGAACACCCTATATTTGATATTTTTTGTTAAAAAGGCTAAAAGTACCTATCC